AAATTATTAAGATAGCTTTAAAATTCATTAAGATATGAGCTGTGAAAGTTAAGAAATTAATTTTTTTTCAAATGTTGTTTTGCTTGATTTCTATTGATGGCTGCCCATATTTAAATTTTAAAGAGATAGCTCTAAAACTTTTTAAATAATAGCCTTCTGGGCTATATAAGTCTCTTTTGCCATTTACGCAAACTCCAGTTTCTAAACTTCTAATAAAACATAACACAAATTATTCTATACATTTTTCTCTTCAAAACAAGCTATAATAGAACTCTGTAGCTTTGATATTGACTAAGTTATCAGCAAAACAATTCTTAACTCTGGTTATTTTTTCTTTTCTTTTTTACTTTGAAAATTTTTCTTTTTCCAAACAACTGGAGATGTTTTCCATATAACCAATGCTACCCCAGCTGTGCCACCCACGTTCCTCAATACTTTAAAACTAGTGGTGCTTTTTAAATTACATTAAAATTGCTTCATTTTAACTAATATTATACAATTTCTATTTATACAATAAGATTCCCCTTTTGGTTTCGTGTAATATGTGATTATTACATGACTATTGTGTAAACAAAGCTTCAAAATCTGTGAAATTTATGGACAGTTCTTAGGGACAATGTGGACAGTGCATGATCACATGATACTTTAGAAACAGTGTTATCATATAACTTGGTATGATGTAACTTTATATGAACAAAATGAAAAAAATTTATTATCAATCAATACATCTATTTTCTAAATTTAAGTATTGCATTTAATAGATCTCACTTAAATCTATGCACTATTATTTACTTTCTGTGTCTGTTTTACTAGTTGAACTACTTACAAAGAGAAATTGAGCAATATGATCTTGAATTAATAACTTCTATCGTACTGCAGCTAAAGTGGGGAATTGTATCCACTGATTAACAATTGGAGGAGCAGGTGTACCAGGTTTCAATACCATGGCTACATAATGATTTTGATTAACAAAAGTGATTGCAAGTGCTTTATTTTGATTAAATGGATAGTAATATTGAAGAAAGGTAAGGCTGATTTGTAGTAAGAAGAAGTATAACGGTCTTTTGTAAGCATTTGCTATAATATCACCTATTTGTAGCATTTTCATCCAATAATCAAACGTGAAAGGGCCACTCTTCCAAGAAATTTCTTTTAAGATCATATCATAATTATCACTTGCAAGAAACAATGATCAGTAAAAAGGCTCATTTTTATTTAATTCTTCAAACAATTTCTTTCTTATATTTGGCTATTCATTTTCATTTCTTTCTAAACACACGGCTACTGCTCTGTACCCACAATTTCTATCTCTATCTACATTAACCACTTTTTTTATATATTCATGCATAAAAATAGGTATCTGATTATAAAATAAGGGTTGTTGTGACTTTTGTAGAACTTCTACAAGTTTTGTCACTAGTTTTTTTGTATTTTTTTCCTTTTTTTTTTTTTTGATTTTTCTTTGGCTGGTTTTTCTTAATATTCGCTAAGAAGAGGGTTTCACTTAGTAGATTGTAGATATCTTTTAGGCAAAGTAAACACATTATGTAATGGTGCCTTTGGGACTGGAATTTCTTCAGTGACTAGTGCTTTAGGCTTATGCAAGAACGTGGCTTTTGACCCACTATTATTGTGATATTCATATTTTTCTTAAAGCTTGTAAAGAACTTTATTAATAGTCATGTCAATTAACAATGATAATGGTATCAAGGGTACTAAATCATGTTTTAGATACCAGCGTTTATGTATGAGGGTAAGTGGAACAGGTTCTGTTGGTAGAATGATGTGATGACATAGTAATTTATAATTCAATCTCAAGCTACAATTACAAGGGCCATTATTCACATTCTTATTTTTATCAATTTCACATACTTCTTTTTTGATTCTATAGATCACCTATCTAGAAATTTTTTCAAGCAATAATTCAAATCTTTTGTCATTAAATATAAATGAATCAGCAGAAACAATGTTTGAGCCTAGGGCTCCATTTGTTTGTAGTTGGTGTTAACGAAAAGCACGATCAATATATAAAAATACTTGCTCCAAACCACTTGACGCTTCTATTGTCTTTTTTAGAGTGCTGTGACTTCCTTCTGCTCTCTGTGTCGACTGGGTTCTCATATGCTGATAATTCTTTGTAAAAACATGCATCTAACACTCTGCATCTTTTTTCCATTCTTTAAGATAATTTTGAATATATTCAGGGTTTCTACTTTTCATTGTCACTTGACTAACTTCTTTAAATGCTTTTTCAACTTCATTCATTTCTTCAGCATAGGCAACTTTCTGGACCACCAACAGGAGTTCATTATACTCTTCATCTGAATCAAAAAATTTTCTACATGTAGTTCGTAAGTTTTGCACAAGCATATGCCAAATGTATATCATTTTTTTTGCCTCTGAAAAACCTTGTCTGCTGCTTTTCTAAGGGCCAAAGCCTTGTCTCAAACAAATACTTCTGGGGAACAAAAAAAAATATCATAAATTGTTTCTTTTAAAGTAAGTAAAAACTATTCATATATGGGTTCTTGCTCATTTGCTACTCATGCCATTGCTATTTGATATGTGCTAAGAGCTTTAGCATTACCGATATTACTTATACCAACTGCATTGATGAGAGGTAATTTATATAAGTTCATCTTATATGTTGCATTGATTATAAGCACCTCTAGATATATAGCTACTTGTTATGCAGCTTCAATATATATGAAAAATAAGTTTAACATATGGCCATCTTTTGTTAATAGATTATAAAGTATATATTGACATTCCTCTAACATTTTTATAAGACGCATTGTATTGTCATAATTTGTGCCCTCATTTAGAGCATTTTTTATTTGGTCACATTCATTAATTATATCTTTTGTATATATAGTATCTTGTTTTCAGTGTATAACATCAGCAATTGATTGAGTTGATGCCTCACTTTTAAGCATTATATAAACTAACTCTTTTTGCTCCGTATTGAGGTGCCAATGTTGGGGAAGTCAATGGATTTGAGATAAAATAAGTAGTTCATGATTATGCACACTTTTGGAAGATGTTACTATCCAAGTTTTGGTGTTTTTATTTAAAGCAGCTCGTAAAACAACAGGACAGTTTTGACGCTTTGAGAGTTTTTTTCTTTTTTGGGTCTCTTCATTAATTTTATAGTTATTTCTGTAGATACCTCCTATTGTACATTACAAAGTTATAAAAGAGGTGTGGCCACCTTTTTCACCACCTGACATTTTTGATAATGAAATGCTAAAGGCAAAACCCGCTGCCTTAGTACCTTGTTGTGCCACTTTCTTGAAGTTTTCTGCTATTGGAAACTCATCACCAACTTCCAGAATTTATGGTTGTAATTGCAACATAATGAAATGATGAGTTTTATTTATTTTTTTATAATAATTATTTTATATAAAGGAATTAAACAGTTGTATTTTACTTAGCACGAAGTAGTTTATTTAAACACAATATTGCTAGTGGCAATTTGATTTTTTTATTTATAATTTTTACAAATTCTATTCTTTTATACAATTGATTTTTTTTTTATAGCTAGGCACTATTGAATATAATACCTTGGGAATATTCATAAGCAAACTAGTAGGTCTTAATATGTCCTTTATTTATGAAACCAAACTAACTGCTTTCCTTAATTTCTTCTACAGTCTAATAATAAACACAATTAACAGATTTTGCGACTATATTATAATTAATCACTTTTTGGTAATGTTAGTTTTAATGTATGCATTGGTAATACTGCAGGTTTCAAAATTACAAGAATGATATTCAGTTTCTGGATGCTGATTACGATTCTTGAATCATTTAATTTTTTCATTCTAAGTTAATATATCTATTGTTAAAATCAATCTGTGTAATTAATTTTTAAAACTTGATGTATGTCTTATTCAAAAATAAATTACCTGATTCATAATCAGATATTTTATTACATTTTTTTATATTAGATCTTTATATTATATTAAATATATAAATCATATAAAAACACGTAATTTATATCTTTCGAAATATTATGTAATCTCACACTGTCTCTAAGAACTATCTATAGATTTCACATTCAAAATCCAACTTATAGGTCACATGACCTTTTGTATAACCTAAAATAAAAACTCCATTTTTATTTACCCCTGAATAACCTACTCTAATATAATATCTGTTTTATTTTTTACTCTGTTTTTAACTTAGAAAAACTTTACAAAAAAATTAATTTTTACTTCAAATTCTAAGTTAAATTTATCAATTTATATTCAATTTTAGTTCTTTAAAATGCCTACTTTAACTCAACAAGAGCCAAATACTATCGATTTTGACTACTTCTATGCATACTTTCAATCAAGTTTTGATATCATGTTCTTGAAGACGAACCAAAAGACAACTTAAAACCAATTTCTCCTGATTAAAGATCTACAACATGCTATACTAGAACTACTCATACCAAAGTAGCTTTATACTTTTTTAGTGTACCAACAACAACAGCAATTGTTACATGCTTATGCAACAATTAACATATTCAATTTATCGCCAAAAATTATAAAATTTAATATCCTGTCTCTATATCCTCTCAGGTGCCTACTAGGAAAAGACAAAATGAAAAAACTACTAATTTTATTCACCAAATCTCTGAAACTTCTGAAAACATCCCATCTTCTCCTACTCATACATCTTGTAAACATACCTGCTCCAAATGCCTTAAAATTATTACTTGCCATATTTATAACAACTAATATTATTTTAACAAAATATATATACTAATTGATAAAAAAATTTATCATATTAATTTCTGAAAAAAAACTCTTTCCCGTAGATCCCAAAACATTAAGTAAACAAATAAATTGCAAAAATAAACCTAAAAAACCATCGTTTAGAAGGGAAAAACGTATAGTAAAATTAATCCCTTAGGGGATACTACACTTCTAGGTGTAAGGAACATCAACCAAAGGCCAGATACAAGTTGAGTACCAAGAAAAGAGACAGAAGCTCGACAGCAGCAGATAATATACAAGCAGTTTTGTCGC